GTGTGTGTGTGTGTGTGTGTGTGTGTGTGTGTGTGTGTGTGTGTGTGTGTGTGTGTGTGTGTGTGTGTGTGTGTGTGTGTGTGTGTGTGTGTGTGTGTGTGTGTGTGTGTGTGTGTCGTTTGAAAGGTTGGCTTGCTTGCTTGCTTGCTTTAAATTAATCAACCTTCCCTTCTTTAAATTATCCTTCTTTTGGGCTGATTGGGAGTTCTTGATGACTTTGAATCAAATCGGGAATGAAAAAGCAAGTTGGAGTTGTCTAGCTTTAGGAGTCAATCAGATTGACTAGTTAAACATTAACTAAATTGGTTGAAGTCCTACATAATAAACCATTATAAACATTAACTAACCAAAGTGAATCACTTAGAATCTCCAAATCAAATTATCTCCAAGTTCTCACATTGCATCTTCTCTAGCTTCATTGCTTTGAGATTAAAAAGCCGAGAACAAATGCGTTATATCAATTTTTCACTCTTAGACATAGCTTAGCCCACATCAAATACTGGCCATTTCATTGTTCTCAGACCAGAAAAATAAATAGGTCCAACCATTCTGGTCCAATTCTGACATTGAAATATAGCTTTGTTAGAGATATTTGCAATCTGGATATGATTACAATAGTTGACATCAAATCTCAATTTCCCAATGACATTAAGGTAACCTAGGTATTAAATCTAAATCTCGGCTTCACAAGGCCATGTAACTCAGACTCTGTTTTTCTAAAAGCCAGTTCTTCCCAACATTTTGGAATACATCATGCTTAAAACATGAACTCAGTATAAATTACTTCTATGCATTTATGAAGTGAAACATTGCCTTTTGTATCTTGTAATTGGTCATGCCAATATTTACTGTCCCGGACAGTGACTGAAAAAACTAACATGGTATTACTTTGTTCTGTATGCATTGAAATATTCACTTTTGCAGACACTAAGGAATCTGAAGGATGCTTTCTGGCCATTCCAGTATGATCATTCTACTAGTTTATTTTTAAGAGCGGCACAAGCTGCAAATCTCAGTTATGGTCCTGCGACAGTAAAAGAAAGATACTCCAAGTCACATAGCAATGTGAGGTCTGCATATTATTTTGCCAAGAAGATTAAATGTAGTAAAATTCTCTCATAATTAAATTTTCACCCATTTTGTTCTTTTACCATAACAGTGGTTTAGAGATAGCTTCTGCTAAGGCTGCTCATCATAGAATAGAGCGTGGAGTTTGGACGATTGTTCGTTTTGGTGATATGCGGCGTGCATTAGCTGGTACCGTATAGCTGCCCTTCTATACTTCCAAGTCTGCTGAAGTGTCCTCCCTCCTTTATTACATGGACCTTATTTAAGTGAATTTAAGTTAGTAAAATGCTGTCTTACTTTGTAGTATTATCAAAATTGTTACTCTACTAATATCCAAACAATGCTAAGTTAATTACCTTCTTTCTTTATTTTGTCATTTCTATCCTTTCGGCTTTAGTTGCCTTGACTATATCATATTTGTCATGTTGAAAATTGAGAAACTGGAGTTCATTGATATCCTAGAAATGAATCTTGAAATAATTAAATGTACAACCAGAGAATAACCAATGAAAATATTGTATCTATACTGTTTTCCATGGAAAATCAGATTAATTATTTTCTCTTTATTGTGTAACTATTAACCTTTCTGGTGTAATTGCTTTGGCTCTCATATGCATGTCATGTAGAAAACTGTAAAATTAAGAAGTTAAGAATGTACTATCTTCAACTATTCTTTGAATATTTAAAGAATATGTTTATAAGCAAGAGTCCACTTCCAATCAAAAGTGATGGATCTCAATGCCATTTTAGCCTGACCATGGGGGCTTAGCTTTTTTTTCTAGATCAAACATGCAATTTCTCAACCCACACCAATAACTGAAAATTTAGCAATAGTAAGCAATAGAATTATTCTGCATAGCTGAAGTCAAAATATCTGATAATAATGATTGTCCTTTGCAAGGAAGGTAATATGGCTGCAAACAGTATACACTGACCAATTTTACCAGTCTGGGTCTGAACCATGCTGTCTGCTGCTACTCACTGATGTGTTGTGCATTGCAGGGCATCCACCCCATAGTCTGAGCATATCATGTATAGAGTGAAGTCAAAGAAGGAAAAGGAATAGAGAGATAAAATTAACCTGATACATTTTAGAGAACAAATGGGTGTATCTAGTCCACGAGGCTCCCCCATGTGGGGTCTTGGGAAGATCAATGACATTTATACTACCAGCCACAAAAGACAAATTACTAGACATGTTGGTAGGATTGGAGCATCTAGCATAACTGGATGGCAAATCCATCTGGAGTCCTTTGCCACTTTCTAGGAATAAAAAGATCCTGCTGATCACCCTAAAGCTCCACTGGGGAGTAAAATTGCTATGAAATCCTTGATTGTGGGGTTTGTGCTTCTTGGTTATTTCAGCTTATTCATGCCATTTAGTATTGTTTTCTGTACCTATGCTTGTCATTTTCCCTTTCAGAATATCATGTTTTAAATGTCTACAAGATTGCCTATTGGTTGGAGCCCCTATGCAACAATCATTCTGGTTCCCCACCAATTAACACTTAGTGTTTCATACAAACAAAAAACACTAGCGGTTCATAAAAAAATCATTAATTCCCAAATGTTCCTGGGAATTTGTTGTACTATTGGATTGTGAAGATTATCATGAGAGTCTCCGAATTTTTCTCATGCTGTTACACAAGGCTGACTCAACTTTTCCTTTTTGGTTTCAATCTCACTGTAGTTTATTGATTGTGCTGTTCCGCAGCTTGTGAGAGACTTATACTTCTAGATGCTAGTCCCGAGGAGCTAAGAGATTATGCAGTTCTTTTATATCACTGTGGATTCTATGAAGAATGCTTACTCTTCTTGAAATCATATGAAACCTCAAAGGTAAAGCATATACTATATGTTATCTGCTACTACGGAAGATTTATTTATTAAAACCAAGGTTTCGTTTGATTCCAGGATTCTTACACCCGGGTGTCCCAATCTAATCAATCAAACAAGTTGGAGGAAGATCTTACTGTAAATCTGATGACACGGGTAAAACTCATTCTGGGGGAGGAAGGTTGGAGCAACTCCGGAGTCAGTACAAGCTACTGGGGTAAGAACAGCGAACCATGGTAGATATTTTTTCTGACACCTGTTCACATTGGTTGTGCATCACACCAACAAATTACCATTGTCAATTGTGTTTGGGTACTAATAGATGTATGTATACTAAGTAGATACAGTGGTTTGTATAGTAAGAGGGTGAGCGTATAGATGAAAGCAGATTTTAAATTGCAAAAATAAGTGATACGTAATGTAAATAATTGTGGGTGGCAGTAGCCATTTGTATAGGTAATTCCTCTCCCATAGAATTGTCAATTAGTTGGGAAAACTCAAAAAGTGATGGAGTCCTCTGTGTTACAATTTGAATTTGATTTCAATGGATAGCTTATAGTGTCCTGGTTCCAAGCTCTTGGTCATGGAATACGAGAAAAACAGTGGATCTCTAACCAAACTTCAATTATGTTTAAAATTCATGTTCAACTTCAATAATTAGATCAATCTTGTTCTGATGACTACACATTTACTGCACAAGACTGTAGAGGCTTGAAAGCTTACATGATTAGTAATACCTTTCTTTTTTCACTTGTAAAAATAAAGTTAGGTGCATCAATTTGAGGTCATCAGTTCCTCTTTTTGTGAAATAATAACTGAATTAAGCAACTATGTCGTACTTGTTAACTTTGGTGACAGTCATGAGATATTGCATATCTTCATCACTTCAAGAGAAGCTCTTATTACTGTCTTTCATCATTATTCGGATCGAGTGCTTTGTTGCTTCTTAAACCTCTGATAAAGTGTTCCCTTCTCACCACAAACAAATGTTAGTGGCTCCCTGAAAGGTCAAGGAATCCGTTTTATCTTCTTTCTTTCAAGTGTCAGCTACCCTGGCGTGGGCCCTCAATTAGCAGAAAATGCTGAACTTTACCCCAAAACAAACATAGCAGTGTGTTACTTAAAGACAAAAAATCTTGAAGCAAACGTAGTTTGTGCATTGGCAAAATCCTGAAACAGGGATTTCATTGAACACATTACAAGGGCGAGAACATTTGAGTTGAGAGATGCAGGTGGATTTCTTTCCTTTGAATAGACGTTTCAGCGAGAAATATAAGAAGTAAACAGAGTATCAGAAATCCAGTCTATTCATCCATGACTTCACTCTCCCTTTTTTTTTTCTTCTTTGTATTCTCTCGGCTCAAACAAAATTGAGATGGATTAAGGTGTATGTGCATGGATTTCATGGCTTGAGCCAAGAAAACCCAATCAAATCTTAAAGGATGGCAGATGGTGAGGGGAAAAGAAAGAGAAGGCTAGGATTCTGGAGGATCCAATTATCATCTGGATGTCATCCCCAAGCTTCATTGTAAAAGCATAAGTGTAGGGGATCCTGAAAGTATTATTCCCAATAGTCATTTTTCCTCCCTTTAATTTTTTGTTTGCAGTTGTTTTGGAGGTAATTCCACTGAAGTGTACTATATAAGGATTTTCTTCCAGTGCAGTTTTTGGCACGGCCCTTTCGTCTATGCAGCAGGTGGTTGCACCTGTGTCTAGTATAGCATTTACTTCAAAAACGGGAATATTGAGAATTTCCATTTGTACCTTTAAGTTGAAGAGCATGTTCTTGGCTTTCCTTGCTCCTCCTGTTTCCTTTGTCTCCATTGACAGAATTTTTTGGGTTTCTTCTTCTAGAAGGACGAGGGCTCCCTCGCCTTCCTCTTCTTCTTCCTTTTCTTCGCTTTCCTCCACTATTCTTGTCCCCAATCTTTGTATTTCCCTTAGGAGGTCAGCCTTTTCCAGTCGCAGTTGGTCTACTTCCAGTACTTCCTCCTTTAATTTTTCGTAATTTTTCTTTAATTCTGTTACCTCGTTCTGGAGGCTGAGGTTTTCTTGAGCCACAGCTATAGATTGAGCATGCATCTCCTCTAGCTCTTTGGACTTTTGTTGTTCAGATTCCACAGCCCTTTTAAGCCTTCTTATTTCTGCTTCACAGTGATTGATAAAATCTTGCTGTTGTTGAAGTAAGTTTCTAGGCTCGTACCTTGGTGGTTCCTCCATCATAACAGGGGTTCTTTTGTCAAAATAATATATGCTGCACATCCCACATGAAGTAATTTTGCATAATGGACAGTGTCTTCTGTGTCTTCTTTGGGAGATCTTTTTGCAG